GGCACCTTTGGGGGTCACCTTTGGGGGGCTGGGGCAGGTTTGGGGGGCTGGGGGCTCATTTGGGGGTCACCTTTCGGGGGGCTGGGGCAGGTTTGGGGGGCTGGGGGCTCATTTGGGGGGAGGTTTGGGTCCCATCTCCCCATTTTTTGGTCAAATCTCCCCCATTTCTGGGGTCAAATCTCCCCCATTTTGGAGTCCCATCTTCTCCAGTTTGGGGTCCCATCTCCCCACATTTTGAAGTCCCCATCTCCCCCATTTTGGGGTCCCATCTCCCCCAATTTTGGGGTCAAATCTCCCAAATTTTGAGGTCCCATCTCCCCCAGTTTTGGGGTCCCATCTCCCCCAACTTGGGTTCTCTCCCCCCTAATTTTGGGGTCCCATCTCCCCATTTTGGGGTCCCATCTCCCCCATTTTGGGGTCAAATCTCCCCTAATTTGGGGTCCCATCCCCCCCATTTTGGGGTCAAATCCCCCAATTTTGGGGTCAAATCCCCCCAATTTTGTCTCTTGCCCCCAGGAGGTCCCCACGGTGGCTACCACCACGGCCACTACCACGACGAGGGCTACGGGCCCCCTCCCCAATTTGGGGTCCCATCTCCCCCAATTTTGGGATCCCATCTCCCCCGTTTTGGGGTCAAATCCCCCAATTTAGGGTCAAATCCCCCAATTTTGGGGTCAAATCCCCCCAATTTTGGGGTCAAATCCCCCAATTTGTGGTCAAATCCCCCCAATTTGGGGTCAAATCCCCCAATTTTGGGGTCAAATCCCCCAATTTTGGGGTCAAACCCCCAATTTTGTCTCTTTTGCCCCCAGGAGGTCCCCACGGTGGCTACCACCACGGCCACTACCACGACAAGGGCCACGGGCCCCCTCCCCAATTTGGGGTCCCATCTCCCCCAATTTTGGGGTCAAATCCCCCAATTTTGGGGTCAAATCCCCCAATTTTGTCTCTTTTCCCCCCAGGAGGCCCTCACGGTGGCTACCACCATGGCCACTACCACGACGAGGGCTACGGGCCTCCTCCCCAATTTTGGGGTCAAATCCCCCAATTTTGGGGTCAAATCCCCCCAATTTTGGGGTCAAATCCCCCCAATTTGGGGTCAAATCCCCCCAATTTTAGGGTCAAATCCCCCCAATTTTGGGGTCAAA